AATGCCTGCTCCACATTTAATATGCTTAGATTTAGTTGTAGGATAGACGTTTGTTTCTCTAATACTTCCCTGGTATCAAAGTGAAGTCCAGGCCAGAGCCACACTGGCTCGTTGGCCTTAACTCATCCTGGTTTCTGTACTGTTAAGGTAACCAGAGAGCAAGACACCCCCCCGGCTGGTCCAATGTTAAAAATGATCACCCAATGATCACAGCTGGGGTAAGGTACCTCATTCAAGGTGCTTCAACTGAGCAGTGTCTGCAGAAACCACAACTCAAACCCACACACAACCCGTCAGAGAGGAGTCAAAGAGCTGGCTGCTATGTCATGCTGCTCTCAATGCAGTGGTAACTTTCTCAATTTAACCTTATCTCTTCTTTAGTTTTTATTAGATTTTAATTGACTCAGCAATTGTATATGAAATCTTTTTATAGGAGATTTATCACACTGCAAAGTAGATTTGTGGATGTAGAGTTTCTTGCATGTGGTGCGATATAAAAATAGTGCCTAACTATTGCTATATAATTCTCCATTGTAGGGGAAGGGTCAAAGGTGTTGACTGTCAAAACAGGGTGTCCACCCTCTGTCCACTGACCAGCCCTTGAAAACAAGTGGAAGTAAATTACAGGTGATGCAAAAACATCATGCCAGATTAATTCCTCTTCCCTGTCATGCAGTCTGGAGACCACCATCTTTGTGGTCATTGCACACAATATAGCATTGCTTGGTTTTTGCAGATGAGACTGCATGTCAGGTCTACATACACATAGTTCCACTACCAGGACGAAACAGACTTCGGGATCTTCAGTTAGACTGGAGGACAAGCCTTTCAAAAAGAGAGGAAGTTTAATTTTATTCCCACCATACGAATTATGTACAAATCCCTCCCCCCCACCCCTTTATCCATCATCCACAAATTAAACAGCTTTTATGTACAATGCAAAACTACAAATTCACATGCAGGTATCCCATGATACACCTCTCTAAAATTTAGAGAAAGTTCTATTGCCTTGTTAACCGTGTGTACTGCATCTCCTACACACAGTGCTTAAAATAAAACACTCACAGAAAACATGTGCTCTGCACCAAACAACCCTTGAGTATGAAGCAATCAGTCCAATAGTCAGGCATCTCTCATTAGCTGTTAGGACGATAACTGATCTTGTTTAAATCATGGGAAAAAAATAAATAAAGAAAACTGTTTTCCCGCCTTTAGGTAACACTTTGTATTCATAAGCTTTACCACAGGATCGTATTGGAAACGAAGTACAGATTACTGCAGCTAGGCATTGCTACTGAAGCGCTACAAAAAACATCACATTGTCCTTGCTCTTGGGGGGGGGGCTCCCAGGAGTCTTCAGGAGAGGAGAGTATTTACAGCAGACAGGAGACGGGGGGAGAGAAAAGAGGAGGACGGGAGACAGGAGTCGGTTGAGTCACAGAAGAGGAGAAAGGCGCTGAGCAAGTCCCACAAGGCAAAAAGGCTTTGATTCTCCCACCCCAGTGCTGAAAAGTGTCTCGTCTCTAAATGGAAACCTCGTATTCTCTCGTTTCCTGGAAGAAATCCAAACGACACACGTCTGCAGATCACGTACAGGCCGAGAAACCTCAGCCCAGGGTGAAAGGGGGTTTTACAACCACACCTGCTTATTTTTTTTTTGTTTGTTCCTGGGCATCAAAGAAACATGAACATGGTGGATTTCCGAATGTGCCCTCACATGATAAAAACAACAGGAAAATTAATAGAAACTGAGGTATAACGATGGAACAAAAAACAAGCACAGAAATGTGTGTAATAAAGTTTCACCTGTGTTGCTACCATTTCATCAAGCCTGGCTACACAGTAATGCTGAAATAATACAGCAGGAGTCACCTGCGAGACTGGCACACTTTCCTTCTCTGGGACTTTTCATCTTTTTGTCAACACAGTCCTGCAGAACTGGATCTACCAACTGCATTAGAACAATTCAAACCGAGCTGTTCTGCTCAGGGACTTCAGGGAGTGGGTCGGTTAACTCCGTAAGGGCTAAACCATTTCAGCCCTGAGCACAGAAGACCACGAGAGCATCCCGACTGAGAGGCGCTGAGAAAGTTGACACAGTCGAAGGGCGAGAGTGGAAATGGCCTAGAAGCGTGTTTAAAACGGACGGGAGGAAGCGTTTCTGTACACAGAGGGCTGTGCCTGTCGGGGAACAAACTACCCAGTCGTGTTGCCGAGGCCCAGAGCTGGCTCAACGGGATGCTCTGATCAATTCATGGCATCAACCAAACGAGCCAGAGGGTTAATGGCCTCCTCCCCTGTCCCAGAGGGACTGAAGCCCTTCACATGTGTTGCTTAAACAGGTGAGTGCTGGAGAGCGTGTGATTGCACTGCGTTTGCGCTTGCTGTCCGGTGATGACCATGGCAGACCTCTTCTTCAGCACTGAATAACACGGGGTGGATGCAGCCGACATGGTGATGGAGAGAAACCACTAGGCTTCTGATGACTTAATAATAATAATAAATAATAATAAAGCCAAAAAAGGAATGAGAAAATAACAGGACATGTCAAACATATTATTTAATACTGAATTATTACATTGAAATAACAAGCAGAGATTTGGATGTGAAAACAAGAACTGAAAAGCACATTGATCACACAGGCCTGGGGCAGACTATTCTGATCATCACGGGTGGAAAAACATGGTAAAAAAATGCATGGCTATGTAAACAAGAGGACATTCCAGAGAGGCATAATTCATTCCCACCCCCACCCCCACTCCCCCCAAGGGGCAGGTGCATGATGCCAACACACCCCGTGCCCTTTTGCGCATGCCAGGCTCTTCCGATGGGATGCCCATTTCTGGGTTTGCCACTGCTGGTGTCCCACCTGAAGGAGCAGGTCTGCCCTCCTGCCCTCCTGCTCCTTAAATTCACATGTGCAACTCCCCAGGCGAGACATTAGGACCCACACAAAGCTGACTGAATCCTGCCTGGGTGGCTGCTCTCCATTAACACACAGCTGTGGTCTGCCCACTTCACCTGCAAAAGGGCAGTGCACCTGTGGGAGCCACAAAGCTGTAAAATAAAACAGAAAGCTTGCAAAATGCATGGAAAGCAACAAGGTTTCTTGACTGGGATTGCTGGCCTTAGCTTCTCCTGAATTGCTGAGTGCTGGATTGCTGGATCTCGCTGTCTGAGCCAGCGGCAGAGACGCACAAGCCGACTTTGTTACATTGGTATCAAGCCTGGGGAGAGACCGCGAGTCAGTCTGTCGGTGCCCTTGTTGCTGCGATGGCTTCTGAGGAAGCTCTTGCAGAAATCCCAGGCTCTCCGGTGGCGGTGGGGGATTGCTATGGGGGGGGAGTTTTCATTTGCAGTCTGGGCAGCAGCAGGGCAGGAGAACAGACACGAGTGACTGCGGAGAGAGTGGGCGATGGCTAACCTGGAAACGCTGCACCAGTAACTTATCTCACCTCATTGTTCTTCAGTGGTCCAGCCGCAGAGAAACAAACAGACACAGTCGTTAACAAAAGAGGCAGGAACCTGGGACTGAGACGGGCCTTTGAAGAATGGAATGGTGGGTGAAGCAGTGAGTGATCTAGACTTGAAATCACCAGCCAAGAGTCGGAGGCAATATAGCTCAGGGAGAGAGGCATGGCGCAGTCAACAACATATACTTGAAAACATTTGGTTGAAATGGGATGTGGAAGAACAGGCACGATGCTCACGAGTCACAGAATGAGGGAGATAAGCTGATAAGGTTCTAAGAAATTTGAATGCTTTGATGTATTTTCCTCCATCAAAATTTAATCTCCGATTTTTCTCCTTTCTTTTCGGTGTGTTTAAAAATGTTACACGTGCACTCTGTTGCAATTCAATAAACAAATGCAAAAACAAGCTTGAATTCTCCCTAACTCTGCAGCTTATATGGCAAAGCAGTTAGGTGATTTATTCTTTTTTCCTCCCAAACTCAACAAGCCTTAGACAAATACCCCTTACATGGCATTGTGTCACTGGTTTGTAAAAGTATTCTGGTGTTGTAAATGTATTGCACAAGCATCCAGGCTTCTATTTAATATTAAACTGGACGTTAAGGGAAAATATTAAGTAAATGCTACAGGAAGAATCTGGTCAGGGTGGATGTCAGTACTGGCATTGCCGATTTAAGTAGCTCAATAAAAATGTCCTTCCTGAGTCTTTACACTGCCGAACGCCTGAATGGCTCACTGTAGCGAATTATTTTTGGATGGTGAGTCTGCAACATGCTGACACATATCCCTGAAAGACAGCACCTGAAAGGAACATGACCCTGGGGGAGAGCACAATGGTAACATCGTGTTCAAGTCATTAAAAGGACATTTCCTTCCCTTCTCTAATTATATCTCACCAATTGCACTTGGTCTCCTGCCACAAATAACAACAGCAGTAATAGTAACTTACAGTATAAGCTGCAGCTTATGTTTACATAGTACTTTGTATCCCAAAGCTATTCACATACAGCAAATACATAATACAGGCAGATGTTCTGCACCAGCAACTCAACTGCACAGCAGATCAGGTGGAAATGATGTGAAATGACTCCACCAGTTGAAATAGGGAGCAACACTAGGCAGGTCAGGTTGCAGAAGTCCAAAGAAGAATTGGACAAAGGCTCCGGCATTTAATATCCCACTACTGTCACAAACAGTGCCATGGGATCTTTAAAGCCCAAGTGGCTGGGGCTTCAGTTTAACTTCTCAATTGAAGATGGTAACACCTTCAGCACAGTGGCCTCCTTCACCATAACGAGGTTATTGGAAGGTGAATTCTGAACCAGTGGGAACTGCGCCACCTGCTGGTCTGACAATGCTACTTGTAGCAGTAAATCTGGTCTTGTTTCATTTTGGGTCTCCAATCCCAGTACTGACCAGGCCCAGTTTGCTTAGCTTCTGAGATCTGATTGCCTTCAGTAGTCAGACAACAAGCATATTGTTTTACAAGGAGGATGACTCCACAGTTAAAATAGTACCATCTCTTGCTCAGTTTTCTGTCAGTTTAATTTAAATGCATTTGTCATAACACTTTCATATTCTTTCCACAGTGCTGATTTTGAGAATGCATCTATGCAAAATGTAATTATTGCGTAACACGCCACACAGCAGAGAATTTAAAAATCCTTTCCTAGGAGTACACACAGAAAACACATCCCTTTAACACACAGAGATAGTCTTAATACAACAACTGTTTCAAAATACAGTACATTCATAGCAACTGACATTTCAATTACTGTTATAAACGAAAAAATCAAATCTTAAGTGTGGTTCTTCAGCAAAACTACAAAATTAGACTGCAAAAATATGTAATTTATAAGAGATATATTACTTACACTTCTGATATACATTAATGCTTGCATGATATAACCTAAGTATATTTAATATTGCACAAATACTGTTTTACCAAACACTGCAAATCAATTCTTCAAGATTAGATACTACAGAAAATACATTTGTACTTTTTAATTAAATATTCTAATATTACTTTTAGAAACGTCAATCTCTCTACTACCTATAAACTAGCATTCTCCAGAAACTGCTCCAGATTACTGCAAGGGTTGATAACTTTGAAAAGATAAAAAAAATGGTAGCAGATCTGTAAGAGGCCAGGTTGACAATGTAAGAACAAATCAGGAGGACAGTACTGTGAAGCCACAGAACAGACAAGCCAGGTCACACAGTAGAGGAGGTCAATGTTTGGGGCTGTTGCTCAGTTGTAAACACAATTTGCATCACATGCATTGTGGGTGACCAAAGCTGACATAGATCAGCTAATATGATTACATCAGTACAGCTCTGGAAGGTGAACTATATCAGCTTACAAGTGTGCTTTAGTCATGCTAAGTAGCATTATTAAAAACGGATTTTCTGTAGCCGTCAGTAACTGTTCTACAACACTGTAGGAAAATTCTCCCCATCCCTAGGCCTGTGCTCTACTTGTATTCTGTCTGGTACTGTCCTTCATGTATACTGCCCATCCAAGCACTATTGGATAACTGCTTCCATATTCCTTGTGGGATCGCAGAAATCCGGAGCCTATTCTGGGAAGTACGGGGCACAAGGTGGGACAATGCCCTGGACATACTCATGCAATGAACCTTTGCAGGGCACATGTACACACACATACAAAATACATAGAGAATTGCAGTGTGCAGAACATCAGGCACATCCCCAAAGTCTGCTCTGGTGCAAAGGGTGTTAATATCATTGAGACAAATTTTCCGGGGTGTGAATACACTGTTGCCAAGCATTGCTCCAAAAGTGAGGGGCACAATTTTGGCTAAAAGGATCCAGAACGAGCTATGAATGCACCACATACAAGTACTGCAAAAGCTATCAACCACATCTGGCATTAAAATAAAGATTAAGCAGCAGTAGAGGGAAGATTTAATAAAAAGTCTTGTCTTATGCTGTGAAGGCATGAGGCTACACTTAATGCCTGTAATGACAAAGTGAAAGTGCCTCCGATGGGGATGGTAGATGCCCAACAAGGGAGCAGATAGCCGGGGCTGTGTGCTGAACACTGTGCTGGCCAGAGCCCGTGTAGGATAATCCTCCCTGACCTCCGCAGCTGACCAGCATGCAGGGGTGTGAGTGAGTGGAGCCCTCTGCTGTTCAGCCCTGAGATGGCAGGCAGGCAGCAAGCAGCGGCAGCGGAGGGGGTGATCAAGACAGGACGATGGTGTTTTGCGAGTCCACGTCTCTCAGGTGCATAGAGTCGGTACTTACTCCAGTCTCGTAGATGGGGTTATCGAAGGCCGACTCCACTGTGATGTGGTCGTACGGGTGTGAGGTGGACAGAGGAAGCCTTAAGGATTTGCCCTGGACCCTGAGGCACAGCGGAGATGGAGAGAGAAAGAGGGATGCAAAATCATTATGAAAAAAGAAGATAAGAAACAATCTTGTGTTCCTTTTCTTCTTTTTTGCATGGAATATACCTTTATTTGTTCCTTTGCAGCCTACGCATCTCCCTACTTGAACTACAAAATCATTATTGTGCTGGATGGCAGCTCTCCATTTAACATCTCCTGCTACCCCAAGGAAACCTGTCACCATGAATTTACAGCTGGCGTGCAGATGACTTCCTCCGAAATTAAGTGGGGACTGCACTACAGTGTTCTGAGCCTAAATCCTGACAGACGTGAACAAAGCCAACCCAGACAATTGATTCCATTGTGAAGCTGCGATAGTGATCGTAAGGAACTCACTCTGTGGCTGTTCACAGTGTGACAGAGGCCTCACACACAACTGTAGTCAAGTGCAGCTGTGTGTGTGTGTTTTTTTAAGAAAGGTGCACAGATCTTTGCAGAAAAAGAATAAGGCATTTTTTGGCAATGCTACTTAACCACGTTGTGGAGGCTGTTTGAATTTGACTTGGTGTGGGTTGTCGCGGTCCTGCTGATGTCGGAGTACCAGGAGACAATACAGAGAGGCGACACTTACTTTGAGAAGTAGAGGTACATCCCCATGATGAGAATGGCGATGATCACCACCGGAATGAGGACTGCAATCGCGATGTTTGTCCCCTCCATAGGGTAGTCAGCTGATGCCTTCGCAACTGGTTCGATAAGCAAACAATTGACCAATCGCTGTCCGATCATCTATCTTATGTTTATTTTATAAACTGTATCTGTCTGACCTTTTTTAAGTTTATATCTAATGGCATGCAATCCCAATGCCATCTCAGCCCAAGTTATTAGGATTATCTTTCAGAATGTGCTTATTCTGATATACTTTTTATCACACATCACATGAGCTGTCTGATATCATACCTCTGTATTATGACTGAGGTGACCAGTCCATTTGAAAAAAGTTGTGCTTCAATATCTAATGACTCTATGATCTGTTATTCGAGGCTTTATGACAAGATCAGTTATTGTGTTTGTAGGTCAAGGTGTAGAAACGAATATCAATTACTTACCGTCTAATCTCCGTTCATTTAAATACTCGGAACTGGAAGCTAGAAAGGAGCAAAGACACTCGTGTGAGCACAGAGGAAAATGAAGTGAAATAAAGTGAAAGATTAATGTTGTCAAGGTAAACTGCTTGAGCGTTAAATACAACTGGTAAAACTTTACAGCAGCTGTTGCAAAATCCATTTCTGAATTCTTTACAGTCTGTAACGCATAAACCGATCATAAAAAGACTGTCAATACCATGGTAAGAACTAGGCTTTACTAATCATTAAACTACATAGTTGTGCACAATAGATTATTTTAATTAATATTTATTCATGCATATTTTGGTGATCATAACGTAAAACGGGCTCAAGCAGGATCTGTTATGTGTGGGTCTCAATCCGCGTTTAATTGCAAACTTAAACTGTTTAAAAAGCAAAGAACAGGGCTATCTTGTCCCCTCAGATCCATCATTTCTCAC